TGCAAGATTGGAAATGTGAGAGACATGGGAGGTTGGCCAGCCAGAGAGAAATTGTGGAAGGGCTCCAGGGCATGTCTGTCCCATGTCATTCAGTCCCAATCAGCTGGACCCGAACAGCAAGCTAACCTACAGGTTGGAGCATCTGCCCCCTGGTGTTCAGTGCATGTCATAGTGAGCAGCTGAATGGCCTTAGCATGTCATTAGCATATTATGCTTTAATTGGTTGAATAGACAAACAGTTGACCAGACACTTAGCATATTAGGCTTTTATTATATAGGACTAGAGGCCCGGTGCACAAAAATGTGTGCACTCCGGGGGGAAGGGGGGTCCCTCAGCCCGGCCTGTGCCCTCTTGCAGTCTGGGACCTCTTGGGAGATAACGACCTGCTGGCTTAGGCCTGCTCCTGGGTGGCAGAGGGCAGGCCAAATCCCTAGGTGCAGCCCCTGGTCTGGCTCAGAGCAGAGCTGGTTGGGGAGTTGGGGCGCCACCCCCTGTCATGCACAGAGCAGGGCATATCGGGAGGTTGCGATGCCACCTTCAGTCATGCTCAGGGTAGGGCAGATTGGGGGGTTGGGGCACTGCCCCCTGTCACACTCAAGGCAGGGTCGATGGGGAGGTTGCAGCGCCACCCCCTGTCATGCACAGAGCAGGGCTGATCAGGGGGTTGGGCGCTGCCCCCTGTCACTCACAGAGCAGGGCCCATTAGGGGGTTGGGTAGCTCCCCTCTGTCATGCACAGAGCAGGCCCATCAGGGGGTTGAGGAGCTCCCCTCTGTCATGCACAGAGCAGGCCCATCAGGGGGTTGAGGAGCTCCTCCCGTCACTCACAGAGTAGGGCTGATAGGGGAGTTGGGGCACTGCCCACTGTCACACACAGAGCAGGGCGGAGCAGGGGGTTGGAGCGCTGCACCCTGTCACACTCAGGGCAGAGCCGATGGAGAGGTTATGGCTCTACCCTGTCACACACAGAGCAGGGCCCGTGGGGGGGGGGAGGTTGGGGCGCCACCCTCTATCACCCACAGAGCAGGGCTGATCAGGGGGTTGGGGTGCCTTCCCCTGTCAAGAACAGAACAGGGCAGATGGGGAGGTTGTGGCCCCACCCCCTGTCACACACAGAGCCGCAGGGTGATCAGGGGGTTTGGGCGCTGACCCCTCTCACACTGATCCCGGTGCCGAGAGTCCTCTGGGCTCCGCTGATCCTGGTGCTGGGAGGCATATTACCCTTTTACTATATAGGATAGAGGCCTGGTGCACGGGTGGGGGCCGGCTGGTATGCCCTGAAGGGTTTCCTGGATCAGGGTGGGGGTCCCCTTTGGGGTGCCTGGCCAGCCTGGGTGAGGGAATGATGGCAGTTTACAGCTGGTCACACCCCCTTCAGGTTGGGGGTCCCCACTGGGGATGCCTGGCCAGTCTGGGTGAGGGGCTGAGGGCTGTTTTCAGGCTGGCGGGTGACTGAAGCTCCCAACCTGTCCTTGTTTTCTTTTTTTTCTTTTTTTATTCTGGGCCAGCTTTAGCTCTGAGGCTCAGCTCCAGCTCTGAGACCTCGGCTGCTGAAAGCAGGTATCTGGTTTGTTTGGGTTCTATAATTGAAACACTGTTTCAACTTCAGCTCTGAGATCCTGGCCTGCTGAAAGCAGGTTTCTGGGGTTTTGTTAACTTCTTTATTTGTAACAATGTTTCAAACTGTAAGCTCAGAGGCCGGCAGCGGCAGGCAGGGAACATTGGCTTCCTCCATCACTGAAGCAAGCAAGCCTCCTGTTCGCTTCAAGCTGCCTGGCTGCTGGCCGCCATCTTGGCTGGCAGTTAATTTGCATATCACCCTGATTAGGCATTGGGAAGGGTAGCGGAGGTACAGCTAATTACTATGTTTCTCTTTTATTAGATAGGATAGTAGAAAATGGTGATAATCCAATTAGTTATGATTTTATTTGAAAATTAAATTATTTGGTAACTTTTGTAGACATTTAGGCTAGTATCTAATCCTATATAATAAAAGCCTAATATGCTAAGTGTTCGGTCATCCAGAGACCTGTCAACTATCAACTGCTGCAGACACACCCTGGAGCCCTCCCGCGGTCTCTTCTCAGACAGCTGGCCCCAATGGACTGGGCAAGACAGGTCCAGGCATGCCCTGGAGCCCTCCCACAGTCCCTCCCAGGCCCAAGGACATGCCCTGGAGCCCTCCCACAGTCCCTCCCAGGCCCAATCATGCACTGGTGGGGGGTGAAGGGAGATCCAGTTTCAGCTCGATCCCACAGGCCACACCCCTCAGGAGGGTGCCAGATGCAGGACTCATGGCTGCTGAGTGCTGCTTCAGCAGCACAAGCCTCTCCCAATTGGGACTGATTGGATGTGAGCCCGCAGCAGGCACAGTGGGGCCGGGATGAGTGGGAGCAACAGGTAGGAGCTGCAGGCAGCATTAGATTGCAGGTTTTGGCCCAATCCTGCAGACCATCCAGAGGGGCCTCAACCATGAACGAAATCATGCACTGGGCCTCTAGTTATTGTATATTAGATAATAAAAGTCATGAGAAATATCATCACGGACTGAATGCTGGGACACCTGAATGTGTAAAAGGTGGGAGATGAGGAGAAACCAAACAGACTAAGAAGGACACACTAGGAAGGGCAAGGGGGAAACTGAGTTAGTCTGTTTGAACCCCCTGAAAACTCAAAGTCCTGAAAGATGAATGAAAAATGTTTTTCTTTGGTTCAAATATTGCTAATAGGTTAGGTAAAGCCAGGTCTAAAACATTATCCTTAGATTTATTAGAGGAGAATAAGTACTAACCTTGAGATAAACAATTTTGGAGAAGAAGTGGGACTAAAAATTATGTGAGTGGGTTCAAGAGAGCATGGAAGGGAAATTAGAATCAGTGAGTATAGACCTTTTCTTTTTCATTTGTAGTTAAATGGCACAATCTTGGATGATCTCATCATCTTCATGTTTAGCTGTCACTTTCAATCCTTTCATAGTGACCATGAAGCATTTTTGTAATACTTAAAAAATTTCATTACATACCTGTGGCACTATCTGGTTTAAAACATGTCAGGCTACGTATTAAAAAAAGAAATTCACAAAATTATACAACTAAAAGATCCCATGAAATGTTGCTAGATATATAATATTACATAACCTGATTATCATGTTTCTCATGTTTACTAAGACGACAGGAGGATTTCTTGCTAGATGAAATCATCCAATCCTAGAATATGTTACACTACTCAAATGTACAAAGTACACTGTAGTTAGTCATCTTTAAATTGTGTAACATAAAAGGGGGAACATGCAGGTAATAATTTTACTTTGCAAACTGAATTTTTGTCAATTGTGTAATATGATGTCCCTGTTGATAAATTGTGTGTGGTGCTTACTGAAATGCATTCTTTTTAAAAAGGAAGGATAAAAGTATGCATGCATACCTTCAAAAAGAATATTCACTACATTAGGAGCACCTTGGTTTATAATGCAAAGGTCAACAAACGAATGCCTGCAGGCCAAATCCAGCCCAGAGCCTGTGTTTGTAAATAAAGTTTTATTGGAACACAGCCAATCCCACTCCTTTACCTAGTGTCTATGACAGATTTCAGAGACCTGATGGTTCATAGAGACTGTATTACAGACTATCTGGCCCTTTACAGAAAAGGTCTGTCTAGCCCTCGTCTAGCAGATTAGCCTCATGATGTGTTTTAATAGATTTTACTCAATATATCGAAATCCTATATAATAAAAGGCAAAGGCCAAACGACTAGTCATTATGACATGCACTGACCACCAGGGGGCAGATGCTCAATGCATGAGCCTCCCCCTGGTGGTCAGTGCGCTCCCCCAGGGGAGTGCCACTCAGCCAGAAGCATGGCACACTGCTGGTGAGCACAGCGGCGGTGGCAGAAACCTCTCCTGCCTCTGCTGCAGGGCTAAGGATGTCCAACTGATGGCTTAGGCCTGCTCCCCATAGCTGCAGGCCAAGCTGACGGATCCCCCAACCCGAGTGCATTATTTTCATGCACCAGGCCTCTACTTTGTAGATAAGACATGGAACAAACTGCCTTGTGAAATCCCTGGGCTTTCATATTAATTTGAGTGTCCAATATTTGAGCACTCCAGTATTAGGAACAAAACACAAAAAACTAGTAACTAGCAATTTAGATAGAAACAAAGTAGAGTGCCAGTGTTGCATATGACTTTTATACCTGAGCAGATATTAAAAGTATTCTCACAAAATTTGCTTAAGACATGATATAAACCCAATGCTTTAAATACATTTCCATTGTGAAACAATCATTATACTGTAGACCAGAACTACCTTCATTTTTTTCCATTGGCTGCACACTACATTATTTTGTGGGTATAATAATACATTTCCTTATAGATAGGTACTTACACTATCTGAAACTTTTTGGTATGCAATGTTGTAAGAAATATCCTTAGCATACATGCATATGAGTATATTATATATCTTTAACATCTATGTCATATTATATCTACCTATCTATCTATATCTATATATATATATATATATATATATATCTATCTATATCTATATATATATCTCTATCTATATTTATATATATATATATATATATTATATAATTAATGTCCTTTGAATGTGTATGTGTGTGTTTATACAAGTCATGTTTTCCTGTAGGTTTTCCTGTAGGATCTAGTTCTGGAAGTGAAGCTATTGGGATAAAGGAATGAAATACTTGTCAATTTCCCTTAAAAAAAAGTGCCAATTTCATCTACCGAGAGTGCATGAGAATGCCTTTTCCTCCCACGTGCCAATTCTGGTTTTTATTTTCTTTAATAAAATAAGTATCATTATTAGTTCAAGAAATGGTATCTCATTGTTCATTGATTTGCATCTTTCTGATTACAAGCAAGGTTTGCTCTCTCTAGTAAAAATAAAAAATTTGGTAATCAGGAATATTAGCTCAAGTTGGAATTTGTTTATAGGAAAAGAATGATTACCTACTGTTAAGTACTGCTGTAGGCTTACCTGTCAGACTCTTCATTCTCCATAATAGAAACCTGCTGCCTATCAGTTTGTTCACTGTTGCTCTGCTGACTCAATCCATCACTGTCACTGTCATCAGCACCATCGTACATGTTTCTGGATGTTTCCCTTTTACTGACTTTCTGCTCTTTTTTTTCTTCAACCTTTGATGAAAGTTTGATATTGAGGATATTGTTATTACTTTATTAACTAAAAATACTTCATTAATTTGATCATTTGAATCTTAGTTTAGTTGCTATGACTTGAATCAATAAAAATATTTTGTATGTTTAATTTTATGATTAAAATTGTTATAAATTCTGTTTCATTTCTTTTTTAATAAAGAAGCAGAATTTTTCAAGTTTTCTCAAAGAGCTTTCTTAATTTTGTGCTGCTATTCACATATCATCAAAACGTACCTTAAAACTCAGTTTTCTCACCCCAAATAGCCACAGCAATCTTGAGAAAGAAGCACAAAGTTGGAGGGATCACAATACCAACTATCAAGCTATATTACAAAGCCACTGTTCTCAAAACTGCCACGTGCTGGCACAAGATCAAACATATAGACCAGTGGAACGGAACAGAGGATCCATAAATCAACCCAAGCCATTATGCTCAATGAATATTTGACAAAGGAGGCAAGAGCATACAATGGAGTCAGGCAGTCTCTTCAATAAATGGTGTTGGGAAAATTGGACAGATACATGCTAGACCTCCACATTATAGCATACACAAAAACAAACTCAAAATGAAAAAAGGAGTTAAACACACAATGGGGAACCTTAAAAATCTTAGAGGAACCCACTGGCAGTAAAATATCAGGCATATGGCATAGCAATATCTTTACCGACACAACACTGAGAACAATGGAAACTAAGGAGAAAATAAAGAAATGGGATACATCAAAATAAAAAGCTTCTGCACAGCAAAAGAAACCATCAACAAAACTACACGAGAGCCCACTGCATGGGAGAACATATTTACCAAGTTATATACGATAAGGGTTTAATCTCCAAAATTTATAAGGAACTCATACAACTTAACAAAAGGAAAATAAACGAACCAATCAAAAACTGGGCAAAGGACCTAAATACGTACTTTTCAACATACAGAGGCCAAGAGACATGAAAACATGCTCAAAGTCACTAATTATCTGAGAGATGTAAATCAAAGCAACAACGCGGTACCATCTCACACCTGTCAGAACGGCTACCATCAACAAATCAACAATGACAATTGCTGGTGAAGATGCGGAGAAAAAGAAATCATCTTGCACTGCTGGTGGGAATGTAGATTGGTGCAGCCACTGTGGAAAACATTATGGAGTTTCCTCAAAGAGTTAAAAATGGAACTCCCATTTGACTCAGTAATCCCACTTCTAGGAATATATCCCAAGAAATAAGAAACACCAATCAGAAAGGATGTATGGCCCTAACCAGTTTGGCTCAGTGGATAGAGCATCAGCCTTTGGAACAAACGGTCCTGGGTTCAATTCCAATCAAGGGCACATACATCAATTGCAGGCTCCTCCCCGGCCTTGGTCCTGGTCTGGGCTTGTGCAGGAGGCAACCAATCAATGTGTTTCTCTCACATTAATGTTTTTTCTTTCTTTCCCTCTCTCTTCCACTCTCCCTAAAAATCAATGGAAAAATATCCTCAAGTAAACAAAAAAAAGGATATATGCACCCCTACGATCATAACAGCACAATTTACAATAGCTAAGATTGGGAAACAGCCTAAGTGCCCAGCAGCAGATGAGTGGATTAAAAAACTGTGGCATATCTACACAATGGATTCCTATGTAATAAAGAGCTAATATGCTAATTAGACCAACAGCAGAATGATGGTCTGGACAACCTTCCGGACAAAGGTGGGGCTGTGAGGCCTGAGCCCCTTGCATGAATTCTGTGCATCAGACCTCTAGTTCTATTTATATTTCTATAAAGCCTAAGTGACCAAACCACTAGGTGCTATGATGCGCACTGACCACCAGGGGGCAGACACTCAATGCAAGAGCTGCCCCCTGGTGGTCAGTACACTCCCAGAGCCAACCTCTTGTGGTTCCTCCCTCCCGGCCCCCCCATGGGCCGGCCCCCATCGCGGCTGGCTGGCCAACGTCCCGTGTCCCTCTTCTCCACCCCCAGCCGGCCAATCACCCCTGTCCCTACCCCACCACCAATGGCCACGATCGGCCCCTGTCTCTGGCTGACCAACCTTCGCAATACAACCCCCCGCCACACACACACACAGATGGCCCCAATTGCCCTGATTGGGACTGGGCAAGACAGCTCCAGTTGGCCGGCCAGGCCAAGGGACCCCATTGTGCATGAATTCATGCACCAGGCCTCTAGTGATGCTATAAAAAAGAAGAAACTTTTACCATTTGCAACAGCATAGATGGACCTGGAGAGCATTATGCTAAGTGAAATAAGCCAGTCAGAGAAAGATAAATATCACATGATCTCACTCCTTTCTGGAATATAATGAACAACATCAACTTATGAACAAAAATAGATCCACGGACAGAGAAGCATTGAACAGACAATAAAACCTCAGAGGGAAGGCAGGGGAGGTGTGGGGGGGAAGGTAAGAGAGCAACCAAAGGACATATATGTATGCATATAAGCATAATCCATGGCTACAGACAGTAGGGGGGTGAGGGTATGTGCTGGGAGGCTTGGGCACAGCCCGGTAGAAGTCTATGGGGGAAAAAGGAGACATACGTAATACTTTAAACAATTAAGAATTTAAATTAAAAAACCAACTCAGTTTTCTGTTTCAGTTTTTTTAGAGACAAATATTAAGTTTATTGCAAATAATATATGTGACCTATATGTTTATCTAACAGAGACAAAGAAATAAAAAGACAAAATATGCAAAATTTGCCCCTTTTGTCTTTCTCACTTGGGTCTTACATTACCCACTAGATTTAGAGGATATGACATTGTGCATCAGTAACAAATAGGAAGATATCCTCTTTTTGCAGGATGCTATTCCTTCCCTCGTTGCCTTTTAAAACTAATTTTTCTAAGATCTTTGAGGGTATCAAAAAGTGGTGGTATTCAAAATATATATTAACCAAAGTTTACCATAACACTGAAGGAGAGTAAAATCAATGAATTGTTAGTTAGTGTACAATTCTGGAAAATAAGTAATGCTTTCATAATTTCACAAACAATCACTATAAAATCTTATAGCTAGAGGATATACAAGTAGACATCTACTTATGTTAGCCCCATATTTACTGATAACTGAAATGAAACCAAGGTTTAATGATCTGTCCAAAGTTCTTAAAGGTGCATTACCTAGCATTTTATGGCACCAAAAGAAAGGATATAATTCTATAATGCTGAATCAGATAAATAAACAAAATCTCATCAAATTAATCACATAAATTAAGTATAACTTTTGAAAAGTAATTTAATGCCTAGTGTAATAAGAGGTGGCATCCACTTTTTCTTATAAGGAGCATAATATCTCAATCTCTTTCCAACTCAAAACTCAGTTTGCTTCTTTGGAGACAAATATTGAGTTTACTAGAGGCCCGGTACACAAAAATTTGTGCACTCGGGGGTGGGAGGTCCCTCAGCCCAGTCTGTGCCCTCTTACAGTCTTGGGGGATGTCCACCTGCTGGCTTAGGCCTACTCCCCGGGGGAACAGGCCTAAGCTGGCAGTCAGACATGCCTCTGGCAGTGTGGGAGCCCTTGCCAGTGGGGAGCAGGCCTAAGCTTCAGTCAGACAACCTTAGCGCTGCTGAGGAGGCGGGATAGGCTCCAGCCACCACCGCTGTGCTGGCAGCTGTTAGTCTGGCTTGTGGCTGAGCCGAGCTCTCCCTGTAGGAACGCACTGACTACCAGAGGGCAGCTCCTGCATTGAGCGTCTTCCCCCTGGTGGTCAGTGTGTATCATAGTGACCAGTGATTCCCAGTCATTCCGCTGTTAGGGTAAATTTGCATATTACCCTTTTATTATATAGGATAGAGGCCTGGTGCATAGGTGGGGGCTAGCTGGTTTGCCCTGAAGGGTGTCCCAGATCAGGGTGGGGGTCCCCCTTGGGTGCCTGGCCAGCCTGGTTGAAGGGATGAGGGCTGTTTTCAGGCTGGCCACACCCCCTTCAAGGTCGGGGTCCCCACTGGGGTTCCTGGCCAGCCTGGGTGAGGGGATGAGGGCCATTTTCAGGCTTGCCATGCCCCCCGGTGACCCGAGCTCTCAGCCTCTACTTTTTTTTCTTCAGCAGGTATCTGGGATTTATTTATTTTCTATAATTGAAACTTTGTAGCCTTGAGTGGAGCCCAGGCCTATCCAGGGCAGGCTGGAAGCTTGGCTTCCTCCATTGCCGGGAGCAACCCAAGCATCCTGCTCACTCCAGCTCTGTGGCCTCCCACTGCCATCTTTGTGACGGAGTGACAGAATGATGGTTAATTTGCATATTACTCTTTTATTAGATACTAGAGGCCTAGCGCACAAAATTCATGTGCAGGTACAGTCCCAAAGCCTGGCCTGTAATCAGGGCCATCTTCCCCAGCTGCCCCACCCGCCACCGCCACCCACTGCTGGTTCCCCATTCATCCTCAGGTGATTAGTGCCTGATGGCTGGGGGAAGGGCCCGAGAGGTTGGCTGTTCCTGCCCGCTCACCAGCCCCTCCCCTGCCATGGGTGGCCATCAGGCAATTGGAGCCTGCTGGCCAGGGAAAGAGACCAAGAGGTGGTCAGTGTGCCTCATAGTGACTGGTCCAGAGGTCATTCTGGTTGTTCTGCTGTTAGGGTCAATTTGCATTTTACCCTTTTATTATATGGGAGGATTGAAAATAATTTATGTGACCTATCTATATATATAAAAGCCTAAGTGACCAAATGACTGAATGACTGAGCGACCAGTCAACTGGTCACTATGATGTGCACTGACCAACAGGAGGCAGACACTCAATGCAGGAACTTCCTCTTGCTGGCCAGTATGCTCCCACAGCCAACCTCCCATGGCTGGCCAACCTCCTGTGGACCCTCCCCACTGGCCGGCCAACCTCCCGTGGTCCCTCCCCCTGGATGGCCAACCACCTGTGGCCCCTCCCATGCCAGCCAAACTCTCACATCCCTCCCCGGCCCTCATCATGCACTGGTGGGGTCCTTCGGCCTGGCCTGTGCCCTCTCAAAATCCAGGACC